AGGCTTGTATAAAGCTGGTGTTTACATCTATTTTATTAGCTGGCGCTTGGTGATGGATAGAGCTGGTGCTTGAATAGTTGATAGAAGGAAATGGGAGAGGGAAGGGTGAAAATGCTGGAAGGAAGAGATGGAGAAGGGGCAGGAGATGGATGTTGGAGAGGGAGAAGGAGACGCCGCAGCATCACAAGGCTCCCATGACCCAAATCACCCATTGCATTTGCATGCCCAAAGTGGCCCAAACTCTCCCATTCTGTGGCCGAGGTTGTTTACTGTGCCAAGGTTGTGCTGTTGTGCATGAAAACCCCACTGAGCCAAAGTATTTGTAACATGTTTTTAGCCCAGCGTGATCCATTTTGAGCCTCACTTTTCGTTTCTCTGCAGCCTGTGGTGGTGCTGCACCATACCAAGGCTTAGCCATAGGCGCTGCTATATAAGATGCAATCTCTGCCCTTAACAATGTAAAAATGGCTGTAGTGTTCATAATGAGGACAAAACCAGTCTAAAAATTGATTTTTCTTAAGATATATTGACATAACTCTTTGGGAAGCCCTTACATGATTGCACAGTGTTGAAGATGCTCTCCGTGATGCTAAGATGGCTGCAAACAAGTGATATTGGGTACCATGGCATGGCACAAAATTAGGCTTTATTTCTTTTTGGCTAGGGTATTTTTTTCCAGGAGAAATCCAGGATTTAAGGAAAAAAGGAAAGCTGTGAACAGTGTTCAAAAGTCCCATCGCAACTGGATTTTGTCACCAGCATTGAAATTGTTGGAAGTTGGTTCTGGTTTTCTCATTATACACCCTGAAACAAAGCAGAGAGCTTTGGATTGGGACATGGTGATAAATTTTGACCAGTAAAGCTTAAAAACCTCATCATTTTGTAGAGTTTTGACAGATTTTGATCGTTAAATCCTAACTGCAGCAGACCCTTTAGGGTCTCTCTGTTCCCAGCAGACCCAATGAAGTGGTTTTCTCAGTTAATCTTGATTTAAAAGGGGTCAAAAGGCCAAACCGGCCGTGCTCAATCAATGTATTGATTAAAATTATTGATTTACATTACAAAGAGCTAACAAGACACAAGACACGTCCACAGGAACTCTCAGGTTCAACATCCCCATTGCATCCTATTTAGTTAGAGAAAAGCGTACCAAAGCATATTCTATACATATCCCATGTGTATTCTGTACGTCTGCTCCCTGGCTTTGCAATACCTAAGGATTTAGGGGCCGGTGTGGTCCAGCAATCCCCATAAAGAATAATCAGAGGTACAGCTGCAAAGTGTTTCCTCCCACTTATGCAAATGGGTGAGGTAAGAGGCATCTAATTAAATGTTTGTACTTTAATACACTGCGATGTGAAGGAAGATGAATTTTAATTACCAGCTCTTAATTGTTTGGTCGGCCTGTTAATATCCTATTTACACAGTATTAATACAATTTGCTCTCTGCCAGCAGGGCTTTTCCTCACGGCGGGTGGTGCTGGGTTTCGTGTCTTTATTTCACAAAACAGCCCCGTTTTGCAAAAGCCAGTCCAATTTTTGGGTGGGCAGTGGTGGATTTGGGGATGCCTAGCCCTGCTGGAGCTCAGCTTTTGGTTTTCTGGAAGGAAAGGCTGGAAATTCAAGCAAAACTCAAGCAGTTCATGCCTTTAGAAACACAAATGGGCTCCCCCCAACCCATTTTTTCCCTTGCAAAAGGACTGTCTCCTTTGGAAGTGCGATGCTGACTCCATCTGTCACATCCCATTCCACTCGCTGTTAAACCTGTGTTAAAACACTTATTCCTCCAGTTAAAAAAAAAAAAAACAAAACAGTGCAGCACTTTTCCAGGAGGAAAAGCTCAAGATTCAGCAAAATTTGGCCACTCCGAATTGGGACAGATGCGAATCCTTTGCCAGTTCTTGCCCCTTGCAGCCCTCCCGGGTTAGCAAGGAGAGGCAGCAACACATTATAATTGTAAATCGTCCTGCAATATCATAAATAAGGCATCGACGGAGCTGGGGAGGGAGGGAGGGAGAAGGTATTTGCTGTGCTTACAGGAATGGGAGCAACTGCTGGCGTTTAATCTTTAATGAACAAGATGTTGCAAAGTGCTGCAAGTCAAAGCGTGTTTGCTTAATGCTCCTCAGCCCTAGTGCACGGCGGGTGACATCCATGTCCCCGGGGCTTCACGCATGGCCGTGAACCCTTGTACACCGGTGATCTCCCCTTGTGCCAACCATTATCTTCCTCCAGTGGAGAACAGGGAGCAGGACGAGTCCCCATTTTTTGGGGGGGTGATTTGCAATCCTTTAGCATCCCAGCTGGCTCTTCTGCAAGGGGCAAAGTGCCTCCTCAAGCAGCAAATACCTTAAATCCTGGAAAATTATCAAAATCAGCTGTGTGCTGATTAGAGGGGGGGGGGGGCTGGTCCCTTTCCCCCCCTCCTCCTTGTATTTGCACCCCAAAATACCATCCTGGCCCCTGCTTGGAAAAGTGAGTGCCGGAAGGCGGTGGAGGAATTGGTGTGAATTATGTATGAGCCCCACTAATCATGGGCTGATTAAAATGATGATGTGTTAATATTATCTCTCCCTGTCACCTCTGCCGAGAGGGACGTGTCGGCACCTGAAGGATGGGGAGGATGTGGCGGGAGCAGATGGGGCAGCTGCGTCCCCACGTGTCCTCTCCTCTGGCTCAATCCCAAGGCATCGCTCGGCTCTGATCCCTGGAAACGCCACTTGATCGTCCCCTAATGCAAGGGTGGGGACAGGTTGAACCTTGGGGATGTATGCCGAAGGGGCAAAGCCCAGCCTCAGTTTGAGGTTAGCTTTTTGAAAAGCGCTGGGAGGTGAGAAATCGGGGAACAGCAGCACCGGTCGATATTAATAGATTAATATTTAATTTAGATTTAGCTTAAAAAATATCAGGCATGCAGGGAAGACATGGAGGGGTTGCTTTGCAGTGCTGGGACATGCTGAAAGGCTCCATCACCCCGAGGTTTTCAAGGGCACCCGGGTGCTGCAGTGGGTTGCCTTTGGGTGTCTGCCAGCTGCCCACCCAGCTGCTCTCTCGCTTCCTCTCCTCAACAGGACAGGGGGGACCTCAGCCTTTCTGGAGGGTTCAGTCACACATGCTGCATCCCGAGAGATTTCCATGGAGTGATTCGCTGCTCTCACGTGCAAAAATCCCCGATGGGATGCTCAAACGGGGCAGAAACGGGGCTTTCTGCCAGCACCTCGGTGGAAGCATCCGGCCGCATCCTCCGCTTGCACCGCCGGGGTGAAACCTGCCTCCTCCCTCGCAGCTATTTTGTAATTGAAAGCACTGAGCATGTTACAATGTGCTCCTTTTATTAATGTGTCACTCCTGATTTAAAAGGACATTTCATTTCTCTCTCCCTTCCCCCTCCTTTTTTTTTTTTTTTTTCTTCCTTAAACTGGATGTCACAAGAATTCCCACCGCTCGCTAGCAAAAATACTCTTTTCTCTCCAGGGATGCAATCTAATCAGAGGGCTGAATTTCCATAGGTCAGAATCTAATCAGAGGGTGGCCCGGCACAGCTTTCGCTATGAAATATGTCTTATTTAAAAAGAGCAAAGGGGAAGGAGAGGAGCCGTGGGATTCAGAGCTGCCTTTGGGATACTGCTAACATGGAGGATGATGGAGATGTTGGGTTGGGCTCCTCCTCTGGAGATGCAAATCTGATGCTCAGCCCTGTTTAAATAGTCCTTAAAATTCAGCAATACCTGTCACCGCTGGTTTCTTCTCCTCAGTAAATCCAAAAAAGGGACCAAACTGGGGATTTTGAGGACTGGTGACACTTCGCCATCCTCCACTGTCGGAAAGCAAAGGGAAGGGGGGGATGAGGGAGGAGAGTTGCATGTCAGCCACAGCAAAACAGCAGGTTTTGGATGGCTCCATCTGGATTCCTGCTTTATTTTCAGTGCCTGGCTATATTTTCCTTGCTTTTCCCCCTCCCCTACACACATCCTTAGCATTTTGGGGGCTGGCTCCTCCAGGAACCATGCATCTGCTTCTCTCTGCTCTTCATCTCACTCATGCTCTTTCCCTCCTCCTCTTCCCCATCTTCTGGGGTGATTTTGCTCTGAATTTGGGCAGCTGATGCTCTTCGAGCGAGTGGGGTTTTGCTTTCCCTCCCCTTCCAGGCATCACTGGGGCTCCGGCATCAGCCCTCTGCCGGGTCCCCATTCCCCCCGGCACCGGTGCAATAAATCACGGAGCTCCAGAGTTTTGACTTTGCTGTGCAGGAACTGCTCTGGAGGAGAAGAGCAGAAGCATCCCGTGGTTCTACTCCACTGTTTCTAAGGACCAGATGTCCTCCCAGCACAGCCGAGCCCGAATTACTGGGTGTAGAGGTGGGAGCTGGTGGGCTGCAGCCCCGTTGCCATCTCAAAGTGGTTTTGCAGCACGTGGAGGGAGCAGAGCAAAAATAAAACCCCTAATTTGGCTTTTTTGAGCTGTCTGGAAGAGGCAGGTTGGGGATGTGTTTGCAGGGGGATTTGCTCAGGTAAATGCTTGTGCCAATGCATTTGCTGCACGTGAGCGGAGGTGGGTGGCTGGGGCCAGCCCAAGCTTGGCTGTTTTTGACTTTAAAAAGCCACCAACCATCCGGAGATGGTCTAAGCACCACCAGAATGCCTAGCTGGACTGGGATGGGGATGCTCCGGCTTCCCATTGCCATGCACAGGGTCTGAAATGCAACGTTACAGGCAGAGGGATGGAAAACCATCCGGAGATGCTGCGGTTACAAGCCGGGAACTCCTGTATCTCAATAATTCACGGGCGCGAGGGAAAATGCAATCTTAGCTCTGTCTTTGTCACCCGTTGGTTCTGCCGCCGGCTTTATTTAATCGCCCTGTTGATCTGCGCCGGGGGCAGGAGGGAGATGTAATCTCGCCCGGCGGCTCCCAACGCTGGTTGATGAAGAGGCAGAGCTTTTCCACACATATGGAGCCTCCGTCCCCGGCGCGGATCCATCCCCAATTTCCTCTGGGCAGATGACACTGTGCTGCAAAATGTTCGCTCATCCCCCTCCCTTTGCTTTCGTGCCTGTTGCTCATCTTGCTTTTGGAAATGTCAAAAGCAAAGCAAGGGGAATCGGGGCACCCGCTGCGAGACCTCGCCTGACCTTCCTCGCATCCCTCCTCCTCCCTCTCCCATCGCCTCTTTACATCTGCAAAGCCCTGAATTCGAGGGGACCGCGTGCTGCGTTGGCAGCCGCAAGGAATTAATCCCCGCTTTAGCGTGCTAAAATAAACCTCGTCCAGGCGAGGAGAGAGGCTGGAAAGAAGCCGGCCCCGAATGAGCGTGGCTGCTGGCCGGGATTTGGGTCGCTGGACCCCAGCAAGGAGGGAGGCGTCGCACTGGGGTTGCAAAGGTGCAATATTAAACCCCATCTGGCTGTGCACCATTTCAGGGCTGAAAACAGCCTTTAATTTAGCCCCCATCCCTGCTCGGCGTTGCTGGCTCCCATGCACCCGCTGTGCAATGCTGCAAAGCACTCTCCAGCACTCACCGCCACCAAAAAAAATCCACTTTTTTCCAAATTTCCTTGCATCCAGTTGATTGCAGCAGCAAACCTGCTTTTGCAGCCCCTCCAAAAAAGCAGCGCAAAGTGGGTTTCTTGAATTTTACAGCCCTGTGCTCAATATGCCGGGCCACGCTGCCTTGCTCTTGCAGCAGGCACGTGTGCGTGCAGCGTGCTCTCCCACAGGTTGTGGTTGAGATTTATTGCAAAAACACCGGCAACTTGTTTTACAAGTGATGCGAGCCTCGAATCGCTGGCTGCGGGACACAGAAAATCACCTTTCCCTCTTTTGGGGGATCTTCTGCAAAGGAGCCTCAGTTTCTGTAGCCCCATTTCCAAACCTGCTCCCATTTTCCAGGTGCTCTGGGGTTTTTCAGCATTGCTTTTCCACCTGATGCAAGCAGTAATTAAAAAAAAAAGGATTTTTGCAGTGGGTTAAGGGCTGTTTTGGGGTGCCCTGGTTGCAGACGGTGTCAAACAGTGTGGTCAGGGCAAGGATGCTAAAGAAAGGCTTGCATCTTCTGGGCTGTCAATCTGGTATCTTCCAGCAGCAGGAGGAAATAGAGGAAAATAAAATAGAAATGCAATTGCTTGCCCTCCTGACCCTGGCTGCTCCATGCTCCTGCAATAGTTTTGCAGCAAATCGAGGGGAAACAGGGAGAAAACGGCCAGATGGAGCCGCCCGTGCTCTGCTTTTCCCTCTGCTACGAGGACAAATCCTGCATCCAGCTATGGGGGAGATGGGGAAGAAGCAGGCTGTCGGCCAAGGCTGGGCTGTAAAACCTCAGGCTGGGCATTGCGCGTCCTCTGATTAATCTGTTGGACCCGTTCCTGTGAGAAATGAGTAATTCAGAGGGTTTTAAAGCAAGCCTGAGTGGAGGAACTTCGTCTGCAATGGGGAGAGAACGCGTGTGGGGCAAATAATGGTGGAGAAAAAGTCAAAACCAGTATCTCGGTGGAAAGGATGGGCTTGAGTTTGCAGGTGGGAAAGGTGGCCGGTGGGATCAGGGCTTTGTGCGGGGATCAAGGCGAGCCTCAAAATCGGGGCACCCAGGGTTTATTTGGGCAAACGTGGGCAGTTTTGCAAAGCTGGAGAGAGAAGCAGCAAAATGGTCGGTCCCTGCATTTTGGTGCCGTAAGCTGGTGAATAAGGTCAGGATTTTCCCCAGCCGGTGCCTTTTTGGTGCGTTGGGAGCAGCCAAAATTCATTGCTGCAAGGGGGCAAGATGCCACGCTGATGGGCTTGCCCATGGGTTATCCCTATGTGGGATGGAGCCGGTGTTTGCTCCCCATAGCAGAGCTATGAATACCATAAAACCATTTGAGAACAGTATTTTAACCTCCTGCCCCATCCTTCTTCAGCAGCTCACATCTCATTTTCTCCTTTTTTTAACTTTTCCAGCCTACCTGACGGTCAGCATCGAGCCGCTGCCGCCCGTGGTGGTGGGAGATGCCGTCACCCTGAAATGCAACTTCAAGACAGATGGGAAGATGCGGGAGATTGTCTGGTACCGGGTAAGCGGCGCCGGTGCCTCCTCCCTGCCCTTGGGGACGGGGATACGAAGCCACTTGGCTACTTTGCTCCTGTACAACAGAAGATCAAGGCTGGATGGCGGAGAGAGGCAGACGGTGCTCTCGCTGATGGGAATATCGATTCAGCCAAGCAGGCAGGCAGGCTGGCCTTTGAAAACCTGGAGGGGGGAGAGGTGTAAAATAGCTTTGCAATCATCCTGAGGGCTCCATAAGGCTTTCTCCAGGTGTTTTGTTATGTTTTCCGGGTGGATTTGGGGTTGGCAGGCTCGGTGCGGTGCTGGGGGTTTTGCACCGGGGGTTGGTGCTGGTCGGGGTTTAGGAGGCGGGGGCTTGGGTCAGCACCGCTGTGCAAAGAGGATTTGCATGTTGGGTGTGAAATGATGCAAAAAAGAGGGTGGTTTTCGTGCTGTGGGGGAAATTATGCAAAATTGCGGGTGTTGGGGGCTTGGGGAGAAGGGCTGGGCTCGTCACGGGAGAGCTCAGCACTGAGCCTCCCCCAAAAACCTTTCTCCTTCCCATCCCTGTCCCCAAAACATCCAGGGGTGTGGGATGCTGACCTGGAGCAAAGCAAGATTTATAGCATCTGGGTCAATTTGGGGAGGGGGGATTTGGAGGCTGTAGCTTTCCCCCCTACCAGCATCACTCCCACCTGCACCGAGCCTGGATCTAGCCTCAGGTATAACGGTCCAGAGCAGTATTTTTGGCTTTCTCCAGGGAATTTCAGGATAAGCTGCCAAACACAAATAAAACCCTCACGGTGGTTTGATCAGAGAAAACTTGAAGTTTTCCAGAATGGGAAAAACTCAGCTCTTTGCTTGCACGTTTCCTCGGGAGGAGGCAAAGAAAGAGCTCATTGGGCTGGTGGCATCAGCCCTTTGCCAGAGGATATTTTTTTCTTGGTTTTAGTGTCTTGTTTCTGCTCCCTGAACAAGGAGCGTCTCTGCCTTAAAGCTCTTCTTCGCATCCAGGCAGGTTTATAAATAGGAAAAGGTGCTCTCTGGACTGATATGTATTCAGTTGCCGGAGCGTGGTGCATGCACAGGAGTATTTCCATCAAGTCCTGGCTGTTGTTTGCTATAAATATGTGTATTTAGGTGTGTAGGGGATGCAAGCAGAGAAATATCAAAATATAAACCAAAAACTTGCCCGAAACCTAAACTGCAGGTTGCAATTGGCTTTGTCTCCCCTTTATTTTGGGGAGGAGGCTCTTTGCACGGTGCTCCTTCCACCGGTGCTGCCATCTCCACCGGGTTTTTCCTTCCCTTTTCCACTCGGTAATATTGGATTAACCCACTTTCTCGCGAGCTGGGGCTGGATTTGCATAATCCCCCCCTGCGCGGAGGGATGCTGGAGCCCTTGGCGAGAGGATGACGCGCCAGGGCGGCCGAGCAAATTACGCTCCGAGAAACCACGGAGAGAGCAGGAGGGGAAAAAATAACCCAGCTTTTATTTTTATCACTGCAAATCCCCCTTTCTTCCAGTTTTTTTACCCCCCCTTCCCTTTTTCTTCTTGCCCAGGGAGCTTCCCACATTCAGAAAGCTGGGATTTTCATAGAGCATCTCGGGATTTCCCAAATTCCCTCCTGTTTTTAGGGGTTTTTCCCCTTTTTTCCCCCCCATCTTGTCTCACTCACAGACTTTTGCGGCTCCCCCGGTGCAGGAGGTGATGGATTGTCTTGGGCGAGCCAGGGTGGAGATGCTGGGGCCGCGGAGTTATATTTATACCATTTGTAAATCAGCCTGACAGCACTTTTGTGTGCGGCACCGGAGCAGTGGAGCGGGGTGGTTGCTGGGACTCACTGGGGCTCCCGTTTTCCTTGGTTTATTTTATAGCGAGCAGAGTGAGCTCGTTGAGTTTCAGGATGCAGAGCTACACCAGGGACGCGCATCGAGTTGCAGGGGGGGAAGGCAAAAGAAGGGGAGTGCAGCAGCAAACTCAGCAGCAGTTTGCTGTAGGGCATGGGGTGGGTGCATAACCCATCAGGGTGCATGCATAACCCGTAGGGTAGGTACATAACCCATAGGGTGGGTGCATAACCCTTCAGGAGCGTGCAAAACCCATCGGGGTGCGTGCATAACCCACGGGGTGGGTGCATAACCCTTCAGGAGCATGCATAACCCATGGGGTGCGTGCATAATCCATCAGGGTGCACCCATAGCCCATAGGGTGCATGCATGACTCATCGGGAGCATGCATAACCCATCACGGTGTGTGCATAACCTGTCGGGGTGCAGGGTGGGTGCATAACCTATGGGGCGCATGTGTAATTCATTGGGAGCATGCATAACCCATCAAGGTGCATGCATAACCTGTCAGGAGCGTGCATAACCCATTGAGGTGCATGCGTGATTCATGGGGTAGGTGGATAACGCATGGGATACATGCATAACCTGCCGAGGTGGATGCATGACCCATCGGTGTGCATGCATAACTTGTCAAGAGAGTGCATATAACCCATGGAGTGGGTGCATAACTCATCGGGTGCGTTCATAACCCATGGGGTGCATGCATAACCCATCAAGTTGCATGCATAATGCATCAGTGCACGTGCATAACTTGTCGAGAGTACGCACAACCCATGGGGTGGGTGCATAACCCGTTGGGGTGCATGCACACCGAGGCTGAAGGCTGTGAGGCGTAAAGGAACTTCTTACCACGGGTAAGGCAGGTAAAACCCCACCGAGAAGCGCCGCGCTGCAAACGGGCACCCCCCAGACCCCTTCTCTGGCAACTCCCGTGGGAGCCCTGTGGCCGAGGGACGGCGAGCAGGGGTGGCAGCAAGGAACAATGCTTTTCTCGGGTCAGAAAATCCCTCAGCATGAGCCACTGCTCCAGGTCACTTGAAATGTAGAAGACTCGAGGAGATCTGGGATGAGTAAAGGGGCTTTTTCACAGCATAAACAGCAACATGCACCATCTGCAGAGGTGTTAATTAACATCCAACCGCCCCCCTCCGCGATAAATTCATCTCCAGAAGGTGCGATTTGCCTGAGAACATGTGCAAGCATCGGTCTGAACCCCTTGCATGTTAGGCGAGTGCCCAAAAACCCTTGCAGGGGACGAGGGTGGTGGTATCCTTGCAAACGAGGTTGTAATGAGTCCGGGAAGACGCGGAGCTGTCAGGCTGTTAGCTGCCTCCGTCGCAGGCGTCTCGGGGGTCGCACTCGAGACCTGATTAGTATGGTCACTGCCACGCCGCGGCAAGGGATGGGGAGGGAGAAAATTACTTTTTGCAGCAGTGCAGAGCTCTAAAAAAAAATAATACAGAAGCAGGCGAGGGAGGGAAAATCCTCTGAGTCTCTGTTCTGGCTCTGTACAGACATCTGGCAGCAGCAGGGGAAGCAGGCAGCCGGCAGCAGCCAGCCTGTACACACAGCCGGGGGCTCGGATGAGATGATGGTAATTGCAAAAAAGTGGTTTGCAGATTTTTGGTGGCAGGCGAGGGCCGGGCATGATTCCCCGGCGGAGAGCAGCGCTCCCACGCTCACCGTCCCTCTGCCCGGCGGGGACCGGGGGCTTGGCCTGGGGAGGTACCGCAGCGAGCGCTGGGGACGGAGGGGAGCCCTCGGCTCCGGGGGGAGTCGCTCTGCCTCAATTAATTAGAGTTTGGTGCTTGGTCTAATTAGCAAGAAGGAGAATAACTCAGAGCCGGGGCTGGTGTTGCTGTCTCCAGCGCCCGTGCATGGGCATTGCTTTCTGTAGCACCTATGGTGCACAGGCATTGCTTTCCATAGCACCCGTGGTGCGCAGGTATTGCTCTCCGTAGCACCCACGTTGCACAGGCATTGCTCTCTGTAGCACCCATGGTGCACAGACATTGCTCTCCGTAGCACCCAGGGTGCATGGGCATTGCTCCCCCTAGCACCCATGGTGCACAGGTATTGCTTATTGTAGCACCCGTGCATGAGTGTTTCTCTCCGTTGCACCCATTAACATGGCCTTTGCAGGTGGGGGGACGTACACCGTGACCCCATGGGTCCCCCTCATCCCATCTGCCGTTCTCCCCATCCTTTGTGCAACAGCTCTTGTTTTTAAGCTTCCCGGCTCGGTGCATGGGAATTCCAGAGCGTTTTGCTCCGTCGAGGGGATCGTCGGGCTGGTCCCTGCCCGGCAAATGCCCTGGGGCTCCAAAACCCGCAGCCATAGCAAGCAGGGGCCGATGCATTACAGATGTTGGCGGCGCCGCTCGGAGCTGCCTGATCGATGGTGACAAAGCGCGGTCCCCGTGGGGGCTTCCTCTGCCATTGCCCATTAGGAGAAATGAGACGTTACAGCCCCGGCCGGCAGCTCCCGCGGTGGCTCCAAGCGGGAAATGTTGCTGGTGACAGTGATAAAGTCACTGCTTGCAGCAGCACTGGCTCCAGGGGAGGGGGAAGACGGGGTGAAGGAGCCAAGCAAAAGGCACCCAACGTGCTGAAGCTGTTGCAAGCCCTTCCTACGCCGTATGATGCTGCTGGGAAGGCCCAGAGCCTTGGCAAATTTGGGGATGCTCAGGCTGGAGGCACTGGGATGCTACTTTTTACCTCTCACTCCTGGAAAGTATCTCCAAGAAATTTGCAGCCCTCTCCAAATTTTCAAGCTAACCCAATTCACAGCAGGTTGTGCCTCTGATTTATAAACCCGCTCCCCTTTAGGGAAAAGCTCTGGAGTTTTACACCTGTGGAGAAATTCTCTAAAATCTGAGCAAAGCTGCTGATGGAGAGATCTCGGGCTGGTAACTGCAAGAGGTCTGGCTCGTGCCATTCATCTACACGCCGGCTGGGTCGTCTCTGTGCCTCTGAGATGATAATTTAAATGTCAGCAAGGGGAAGTCTTTTAATTCCTCATGCTCAGGCAGGGAGAGAAGGTCACAAGCCTCAGCACAGTTTATTGAGCTCTCTATTACCACTGGGCGAGGGCAGCGCTCCGGCTCCGGGGAGGCAGCGGGGAGCTCAGGCTGCGCCTTCCAAAATTGCATGGCCCTCTTGCAGGATCGATTCGATCGTGCATGTGGTTTAGCGATGCTGGAGAGTGGGTACCAGCATGGGTGCTGCCCTTTGGGGCTGGAGATGGGTCGTGGTGCTCATTCTGGGATCAAACCATTCGGATTTAGGCAAATAAATCGACTACTTTGTATTTTTGGAAGCCAAATTTAATGCCGGTAGTGTTTTGGGTGGCTCTGAGCAAGGTAGGACCGAGTGGTCCAGCAAGCTTAGGGCAGGAGGAGGGATTTCAGCCAGCTGAGCTAAATGCAGATGCTCGAATGAGCTGGGGTGGGAGGCAGAAAAAAAGCTAAAAAGGGTTTTCCAGCATGACGCGTTTCTCCCCGCGGCTGCGACATGGGATGCTGCAAACCCCGGTGCTACCCCATGAGCACGCTAAGCATTGCAGCCACCCCTCGCAGCCCCTTTAGGGTATTTTCCCTCTTGCCACAGCAAGTGCTTGTTGCATTTGCTTGGGGAAAGGGTGGAAATTCAGCCCCAGGATGAGGATGGTTGAAAGACTCCGGACCAGAGCCCAGCGATGCCCCATGCCCCCGGGTGCTACGGAGACCTCCTGTCCTTTTACAACCCACTTTGTCCTCCAAAATCCCTCCCTCCCCATCCCCTTGGGCCCTCATCCATCACTCCCAGGTGCTTATCTAACCCACCGAGCATCCTAGCGAGAAGCTCCGGCAATATTAATGGTGCCAGCGTATTTTGGGGACAGCAAACTGCCGGGTCGCTGGCGAGGTGAGAGCAACGGGGGGAGAGGCAGGAGGGGGCTGCCTCCGCGACGGCGGGAAGGAGCAGGAGGTTAATGTCTCCCTGCGCAGTGGCAATCGCAGGGTTTTTGTCAGGAATAAGATTTTTACTGGAGTTTATAAATAATGCAGCAGGCAGCCTCAGGCTGCCCGAGCTCGACTCCGATGCCTTAAATGTGCCTTTTCCTCTCCCCGTGCCCTTTTTCCTCCCACCCTTTGGTGTGGGCACATAATTAAGGGCAATTGCCCTCGGATGCTGCTGAATTATCATCCTTTTTTTCTCCAACACTGAGCTTGGCCGTTCCTGCACCCCCATGGGGTTCACCAACAACTTAATATGTAGCTCCTCTCCAAAAAAATTGACCCCAGGGTGCAGATAAAAGGTTGAAAGTAGGTCTAATCCCTGGAGAGAGACTATTTTCTATGCGGCTTTTCATAGGAGCCTATTAACTGCCTGTAATCCCCCAAGGATGTGACCGGGCTGCAGCATCTTCCCTTGCCGTGCATCCTTGGGGGGATGCAAGGGGTCCCGGGGGGGGCGAGTGGCAATGTGAGCAATGCTTTGAGCTGCATTTTTCCCATTCCCATCTTCGGATCTAGCTTGAAGCTTTGCCCACATCTGTCCAGATATGCTGGGCAACCCGTGGCTGCAAAACTCCCGGTCCATGGGCATCACCTCCACCGCTCCCCATCCCCTTCCCCTGAGCATCCCGCCCTGCAGCAACCGCTCTGCTGTGTCCCCAACATAATCCCTAGAAAACCCTTCGAGATGATACACGAAGAGCTTCTCGATCCGGGAGCAGCTCCAAGGTTTCTCCCTAAACCCACCCCAGGGCGTAAATAAAAGTCGGGAAAAATCAGATGCGTCCTTGAAAACTTCCCCTCGTTCCCAAGGCCGGAGATTTACAACTCCGATAATTCTTCTTGCAGTTCTTTATCCCGCGTCCGTGCCAGCGTGTATTTTCTTTGCAATAAAAGCCTCAGCCTCAGCGAATAAATTTGAAGAGGTGGTTTTAGTGACAGCTTTTTTTTTTTTTCCCCTTTCTTTTTGTGATAAAAAAGGGGGGAAAAGAGAAAATTTGGAGTCAAAGTTGAGTTTTACCCAAGGGGGGAGAGAAGTGCTGGGTGGGGAGAGTGCGGTCTCCTCCTGAGAGATGCTGGTTTTGGGGGGTTAATCCCCAAAATCCCCTTCTCCCGTGCCTGGCCTTTTAAAAAAAGACTATTCGAACCCTCTGATGGATCCATCTGAGCTGTTGTAGCCCCAAAACGCCCATCGGCATTGCTTTCCTCTGCCTTTTCCTCCTTCATTTTGTACTAAACCTTGCTCCTCGCAAGAGGGGGAGATAAATCTAAAGGCATTGGGGGACGCAGGGAAGAACCGAGTCCTCCCCGGTCCTAAAAAGAGCCTTTTTCCACTTAAAAATTACAACCCCAGCGAGCGGCTGGAGGTGGGAGTTGGCGACGTGATAACCAGACAGAAACGTGCGGGGTTTGCTTTTAATCTCAGCAGGCTCATAATAAATAAATAATATTTATTGAATCTTAATAAAACTATTAAAAATAAGAATAGTAAAGATAAATATCTTAAAAATAAAAATATTTACATTAAAAATGTTAAAAACATTAAAAATCTTCTAAAAAAACCTAAAAAGCGGGTGCAAAGCTGCTCGTGCATTTGCAAAAGTGGCCGCGGGCGTCTCATAGAGGTTTATTTTTTTTGCAGGTCACCGACGGTGGCACCATCAAGCAGAAGATCTTCACCTTCGATGCCATGTTCTCCACCAATTTCTCG